CTACAATGCCGGCTGTTCTGACTCGCATACTGTAAGTACGTTTTTTATATTTAATTAGTTTTTATATTTTATATATTTAAAGCGAGTTTTTTGGGCAGTGTAGAGTAGGGCTTGTTGTTTGTCATTTCTCCGATCACAAATGCAGACATGGTTTTATGTTTACGCGGCGCGATGCAACGCGTAAAAAGACCGTATAAGTCATTATAATCCGTAATTATGTCCCCACTGGATGCAACGAATGCCTTGTTTATAATGGGTTTTCATGTTTTTGAATCATCGCTCCGGCCGGACAGGGCATCATCACAGTGTGGTAGGGGCGTAACATTTCCGTCACACGCTTGATGTATTCGGCCAATCATAATGCACTGGATAGCTGGCCAATCAGAGTACACCTCGCTTTTTCAGACCGATGAGTTTTGTAAAAATCGACGCGTTTCAGAAAGGCGGGGCATAGAGGAGAAACAATAATGTACAGTATGTGGAAAATAATGTGTTTTTTGAACCTTAAACCGCATAAACACATTTCATTACACCAAATACACAAAATACTGTTCTTTTTAGCAGTATCATATGACCCCTTTAAAAGTAAATAATTGTAATAATGCCCTCTTAATAATAATAATAATGTTAAATGATATTCAGTATGAGTTCAAATAAACACATGAAAGGGAACTGGAACCTTTTTTTGATGGGACTGTCTGTCAGGATACACAGGACAAAAATGTAGGGAAACATTTACAGTGAAATTAAAATTTAAATAAAATACTATAACCTTTTACCTTTTTCACTTACAAAAGTTTAAAATTTTTTGAAAGCTGTGTTTGAAATCATGTACACTTAAATGCGATAGACTCCAATCAGTGGTGTAAAACAGTTTTATACTACAGAAAGCAGAGCCACTATGGATCAGATGACCATGAAACACAGGAAACAAATAAGCCAGCTAATAAGAGGCATTTCTACAACGACTTCGCTTGTGCATGACTCTACATTGATAAATGTCAGTAAAGTCCAGAACACTGTCATCTTAAGCAGAACAAATATTATTTAGTGTAATTGTAATGCTCAGAGAATGTGTTTAGACTTTATACTCAAGAAATTGAATTCATGCATACATTCAATTTCTTTTGACGGTGGTGGCAACATAAATACTCTCTTCATCTCTAAGTAGCCGTTTTAGTCTTGTGGACCATACTGTTTACACCAGGTATTAATACTGGTTTTGGTTGAGACGATAGTCTGCTGAGACCAAGTACAGTTGTTATAATACTATAGTTGTCATTAGTTGTTATAATTGTATTTAATTGTTATTTTATCACCATGTAAACAACAGTAGTGCAAGGACTAACCAGTAGTGCAGGTGATGCAGATAAAGGCATTGCTCTGAACCATTAGCTCGGAAAGCAAACTGCAGAGGGTCTTGAATGGTTCAGTCATGATTTTCGGCGATGCAGGATGGGTCTTTCAAAGCACTTACTTACATGAAAACAGAGGTCAATTCAACTATTACCCATTCTGGCAAGAAACTCTGTTTCGTCTGAGCTGCTTGAAGATTTCCATTCTTCCCTTTTTTTAGGTTCATGGAGATGTGAAGCCTCTGGTTGAAGATATCAGCGATAAAAATTAATGTGTAGTGTTTTCTAAAAGAGAGAGCAGAGTCTTATTATTAAAAATATTTAAACACATGCATGAACCAATTCAACAGGATGATATATCATAATAACTGTTATAAACTCACCACTGCTTGAAGCGTCTCTGATACATGAGAACGAGACCCTGCAGGTCTGACTGGATCATCAGAGACTGGAGAGTGAAATAAAGGAAACAGACCTGTGATCATATTTACATACATGTCTGAATCTGAGAAATCATGAATTCATCAGGGCAGTGAGAGTAAATGTAATAAAATACTTACGATCCGGTTTTAAATTCTCCATGCTGCTGTGTCTACGTTTCAGTGACTCTCTTGATTCACTTGTTTGTGACTCTTCCAGTCTGTTCTCTATCTCTTCTCCTTGTTTTTCATTTTTAGTGATATTTTTCATTTCTCTCTACAATGTATAAAGACAATTTATTTTTCTCTGGTTTAAAGTAATTTACATAAAATGCAAAATGATGATTGTGCAAATCAATACATAGGCCTACAGCATTTGTAATCTGACATTAGCAAAACAATTCAGAGTATCCTGGTATCAGGGTACTTAGATGTTCTGATTTTGTTGTACAACTAAATACATCTTCCCTAAATTTAATTAGAACACGACAGTAGATCAGTAAAATGAGATTTCATAAGTAAAAATTCACTTTTTCCATAAAGAAATCGTGCGTATTAGCTGAATTCACTGTCACTGCCGTGTTGCTTTATGGTTGCCAGAGAGTGGCTATAGATACTAAAATATTGATATTGATAGATACTATAGATACTAAAAGGCTACTTGCCATTTTGAGTCAAAACATCCCACACCCTTTTCTCTACAATGTTTTAATCCGAGTACAATGACTCTGCAGAACAAAATGGGCGGTTTTTTTATTTTATTATTATTTTGCAAAAAAAAAAATATATATATATATATATATATAACGTGCTATGCTTCTCGAGCACCACCAATAAACGTCTCTAAATCACTATTTTCACTAATAAACGTCTCTAAATCACAATTTTTTTAGTTATAAATTCTATTAATTCGAAAACGTCATTTGCGATAGTAGCTACACCCTCTGAATGGGAACTGCGTTGGTCTAGAAAATACTCATAACATTTTATTTATGGTTATTTATGGTTTTGTATTGACAAATCTATTGTAAAAACAAACAAACAAATCTGCACAAACCTTATCAGTTAATGGCTGTATCCTAAATCCCACTATGCAGTTTGCGTCTGCGTCTTTTTTACGAGCACCATAGACTGTATGTAGAGCACCAACCAAATACCAAGAGCGACATCTAGTGGAGAAACAGGAAACAGACAGAGCATTCAAGTGCGTTTTCTGCGATTCAATCACAAGTTGCCAATCGAGATGCATTCACCGTTTCCATCTGTAGCTTCTGTCTGCGTCTCCTGTGAACTCTTGTGTTAGGATTTTCTGAAAAAAATATTTATTTATTCATTTGCGTGGTGGGATGTCTGAGGAAATAATAGGCTAATGTAACTTTTTCACATACTTAGGTAACACAGATATTTAAACATTTCAAGTGAATGAGACTCATCCACAATGTTGACGTAAGTTTGTGTTATTAAACATTAAATATTAAACATACCCATATTTCTTTACTAGCTATCTGCTATAGAAGGTACTTTTAATGTTGTCTCCTTATGACAAATTGCATGAGTTGTAGTAGGCCTACAGATTTTGTCTGACAAAACATCAACGTAAGTCAACACTGTGGATTGATGTGGTTTGCAATTTTAAGTTTTGTCACCATGTCACCAAGTAAAAACCCCGAGTTCAAATTTGATGTGGTTTGCAGACAAAAAGTCTAGTCTTTTTCTTCACCAAGTCCGCTCAATTTTTTTTTATGCTGTTCACTTTAATTTGAATAATTTAATTATTGTACCAGGTTTCTATGATTGCATCAGTTTAAACTGAGCTCAAAATAAATTTTACTCTTCCCATGCTTTGGGGAGACAAAATACTGAAATAAAGTGCTGTTATGCAGTTATGCATTTTTTTTTTTTTTAGCAAGATGAGAAAATAGGGAGACTTGTTAATGTCTGATGGTCTATAATGTTGGTATTTTAAAAGACCACTGTTATGGTGGTGTTTTGGGAGTTACCATTGTGGTGAAGTGGATGTAAAAAGTACATCTTTGATAAACATCTATTTAAGAAAAACAGAAAAACACTGGGAACATGTGGAGGGAAACGGGTAAAATCCATGGAATAAGAGCAAAAATGTATTGTTGTGCATTTGGATGTCAGAATCGGAATGCAAATAATTTTTATATAACACTGTAGTCAAAGACGCCATTTGAAGCTAAACGCAGACGTTTAAACGGACAGACTATGGATGAAACCTGCTATGATCCCCCAAA